GACCGTGATGGCCCTCTTGAGTTGCCGTAAAATATGACGAATATGACGGCTGCGACGGAAATACACCCGAACATATCTGGTAGCCCGAACCAGAGCCATATAATAGAAGAGTTACGACAACGGAAGTCCAAAAACGGTTATCGTCACGTGGTTCATGTAGAAGAGGATCGTTCCCCGGAAGTTCATGGCGGGCAATGTGAATGCATTGATAACAGGAGATAGAACTACGATTTTTGGTCATTATTAGTGAATAAAGGTTTTGATTTGCAAAATGTATACAACAAATCGATATGTGTATGTATTTACATCAATATGTTTTAAAAAATAAAATAGAATTTGCTAATATTAAGTGATAATATTAGGATTAGTGTGAACAACTAGTTTACATGTTAGGCTAACAGTGCCTTGGTTAAAGAGCCTGTTGCTGTTTATTTATAGCTTTGAATTCTTTAAAACCAATATTATCTTCTTAAACCTGTATGGTAGTCAGGAGCATCACTTTCTAATGTTTATTGATATATTTAGAGGGAGGGGATCTAAAGTAATGCTTTAAAATTCAGATTAGATTCATGTCTACCATTTTTTTAAATTCATGGTAGTTTCAGTAACCATGGTAATTGAGGACACAAGTTATCTAAATGACTAATGTCATCTGTATGGCTTTCAGAAAGGACAGGAGACCGACAGGTGACTATCAAAGGACTAGCAGCAGCATGATGATGATGATGTTAAATGTGTTGTTTTAGGAACATCCATTGCAAATACATGGAATTCAATAAACATTGAATAGCATATCATGCAGTTTGTCTGTGCCTTTTCCTCCGTGTTGTCCTGGTGTGCTGTGCTGACTCCTAGTCGCCACCATGGTTTGCTGTGCTGCCTGGGGATGCTCCAATCGCTCAGAGAAAGGAGTACGAATGTACAGCTTCCCCACTGACACAGAGCGGAGGAAGCAGGAGCAATTTCACGACCAACAGCAACAAAATATGTGATTTATATACAAACACTGCATTTGCACTTTTTCACAAAACGAAAACCACACCATTGGGAAAGCTTAATGTTTTGTTTAATACAAAAAACAGGGAAAGGCTTGAAAAACACAGAGTTGAGACTCAGGGTGCAGGGTGAGGGTCTCAGTGCAGGTATTCAGGCTCCATTGAATCCCCCTCTGGTTCTTGTGCTGAAAGAGGGAGTAACAGACAGGAGAACGGGTTATACACACCTATATAGCACACCTATTGGATGGGAAATTGCCTTGGGGAGATAAGGTGTGGTCTTTGTTCCCAACTGAAGTTATGGAACTTTATTATTTGTGAGTTTAACAAAGTATGACAAATGGCATCAGTAACAGATGTGATATGAATTTCTATAAAGTTGTCTCACATTCTTGGTCATATTGTATATACAGTATGTAATGAGTATAACATGTCCAGTAAGTATAAAGTGTTTCCTAATACTGTGTATTCAACCACTATGGAATATGTATGTGGGCAGACAAGATTCAGACACAGTTGTTCTGTGTGTGAAGTAACCTCAAGTCACTCCGCAGGCACATTTTGATGCAGACCAGTTTGTCAAGACAAAAAAGGGCAAGACTAGGCTGAGAGCAGAGGCTATACCCACCATCTTCGTGCATCGCCCTGTGGTCAAAAAGAGAAGGGCCCCTGCACCACGATTCACCCCGGGACCTGTATCTACAAAGCCCATAGCTCATGATCACAGCGATAGTGTGAAAGGTGACACAGGTATAATAAGTATGAACTCTTAGTAACAAAAGTAATATTTCTTATTTTTAAGTGGTATAATATTTTAAATGTTCGAACATTTACAGTGCCATGTCTTCGACTTACATTAGTCTCAAAGATTGAGGGAAGAAGGGAAGGGATCACTGCCCTCCACCTGCCAGAGGAGCGCAAACAACAAAAACAAGCAAGGTGTCCCGTCATGTACCTGGAAGTTTGGGTTGGCAAAATGGAGTAAGAGAGGGACTTGAAAAACCTTGGTGGCTCTCTACTCCTGTTGTTACAGTTGTCTTGGTTACAGCTCTCACGTGTTTTTTTGTGCCATTTCCACATCTTTAGAAAATATGAAAAAATTGAAGTGAAATCAACCTCTTCTCTGGAGAACAAACTTTGATTTCTCTGTCTTGTGAGTTTGCAGTCTTGCTCCTCCACCTGTAACATCACTGCCCCTCCACCTGCCATACAGTAGGTTACTAACAAGATTACTTATATAATACAGTGATAGAATACATGTTTAGTATGCTTACTCAGTGTGAGAAAAAGTTTTTAGAGAGTACTTGTCCATGGACAAGTGAGTTTGGCAATTTACTTGTCCGAATACATTTTTCACTTGTCCAGAATGGACAAAAATTGGGGCCACTGGAATCTTCTTCTTCGTCATCGTATTTTACATTTTCCCACGGTTTTTACGACACCGCTAACGTAAGTGAGCGGTAAGATTTTACTGCATCACACATAGGGTTGGGTACATAGACATATACGTCTATGGTTGGGTATCGTTTGGATTTTAACGATTCTGGTTCTGCTTTTCGATTCCGGTTATTTTCGGTTCTCAATTCCGGTTCTTTGAGAGGGTAAAAATAAGTCAAACTGGGAGAAATATATATTTATGAAAAGATTAAGTCAAATCTGTATTCCTATTTACAAATCACTTCATACTGTTGAATTTCTTACGGTTATTGAATACAATTATATAAAAATAATCTCTGCATTGTTTAGTTAGTTCTAAGTGGTGCAGTTTGAGAATGTACAATTGGCCCAGTCTCCTCTGATGTTACACTGCAACCTGCCTGTGAGACACAGTCCAACCACACATGTCCAACACATAGGACATAACCTAATAATAATAATAATGACACATTAGATGTATAGCTTATAGGCCTAGCGCTTTTCTACAACTCAAATACGCTTACACATGTCCTGCAATACACATGCTGCAGCTGCCCAGCTGCTCACTGTTTGTAAAAGTAAATAAATAGTATTTTCATTTCAATAATGTACTTTCTTTACCCTGCTTCATAAACAATACTGACATCCCTGTGCTCCTCTGAGTCTGGGGGTCCGGGGATGTGAGGACACAGACAGGGAGGTTGCTTTACTTCATAAAGGAAATGGTGGTCAATATTAACAACATAGGAGTTAAAACGCTTAATAACCTCCATTACGTGTTAGAGAAAGAACATAAGAAAGTTTGACAAAGATGAGGCTGTTAATCGGGCAGCGGATCCGCTGTGTGTAGAGAGAGAGAGAGAGAGAGAGACGCTGAGCTGCACCGTGCAGCGATCAGCTGATACGGAGCATAGAGAGAGCTGCAGTACGCGGGGCTCGGCCTCGCCTCCTGTCCTCACAACTCTTATTAATCCCGGTACCGGACAATTGTTATTTGTTCCTACTCGGAACCAGAGATGGGGTCGTTAATAAAAAAATGTAATATATTACATATTACTTTAAAAAAAAGTAATATATTACACTACTTCGTTACTCTCTACATAAAGTAACTCGTTACTTTACTCGTTACTTTACTCGCCGAGCACGTACGAACTGCGCATGCGTGAGTGGCAATAACTCTCCTTACCAGCAGGCGGCGGTAGTGTGTATTCGTCATTCAAAACAGGCAACAACCGGAAGACAGAGAAGAAGAACAACAAACAAACAAATAGCGTGTGCGTTAGCTTCACCTTAGCATGTGTTCTTTGCAGGTGTGTGTTGAGGTTTGACGTGGTGTTTCCAGCAGTGGATAACAGCTTCTGGCCTGGACACAGTTTGCACCTCACCGTCACATTCCTGTCTATTCTTCGGACGAACTCAAAAATAATGAGCATACCTCCACCGCTCGAGAGTTATCGCTGACTCAGCCATGTTTATGCAGCACTGCACGTGGAGATGTGGACGCGCAAGTCGCGCAGATTACGTACATATAAACCTGCGGCGGAAACCCCTCTTGTCTGTCAGTGTGATTATGACTGATTTTAGTAAGTAACGAAGTAACGCGTGTCGGGGCAATGTTAGTAACTGTAGTGTGATTACTGAATTATAAAAGTAGCGCGTTACACTACTCCGTTACCAACAAAAGTAATATTATTACAGTAACGCGTTACACCCAACTCTGCTCGGAACCGTGTTTTGCTTCCCAACCCTGCCACTGCTACACTTCCCGCCCCGTCTAACTGTACAGAAAGTGGCGAGATGCATTTCCTTAGGAATCGACAAGCAGAACCAAAACTAACACTTCTAAACGAACAATGGCGGACACGTACAATTTGCGAATGAGTTCTGCCCTTTGTAAACTGAATGTATCAATAATTTGTCAATAAATCAGGCCGAAAAACGTCACTTGTCCGCCGGACAAGTCAATTGAAAGATCTACTTGTCCGATATTGTAAATAACACGTCCCGGACGGTGGGACGTGTACTTTTTCGCACACTGTTACTTATATAAAACAGTCGTATTAAACTTACCTTGTGTTTTCACACTCACTTAAGTCCCTCTCCCTTTGCCATCAATCCAAAATCAGCTGAGCTGCAACATTATACACACAGGTAATAATCAACATAATCACAAGGACACAATATGGCTCTGCTAAAAACACTCACTCTTACACGCACCAAAGTTATATTTATCTAATATTTAACTCCCTCCACCCCCGCATACAATCCCGTTTAGAAGCCCCTCTTCTCTAATTCAACAACGTTGGACCAAATAGACATTAAGAGAACGGAATTTACAATTAAAAGGCTGTTCAACGTGTGTTGCTAACTTGCTTCGGTATCCTAGCTTGATCTCTTATCTGTAAACGTTCCCTAAATCTACTGATTTAGGGATAATCCACTGACATCCTTTAATACACATGTTCATTTGAATCAGATGTACTGATAATATCCGCAATATAAATCTTTAAACTTCTTCTTACCTTTAAAAGTCCGTCACGAACGGTCTATTATGCTGCAACTCCACAGCTCTGCTAGCCTTGGCGCTAACTTCCGGGGAACGAATGAGAGGCTCCACGATCCGCCATTGCTGTAAAAAAGTGGTCCATTGGAGTGAACGGAGATGTCATAACTCTTCTATTATACGGCTCTGGCCCGAACATATCTGGTACTGACACCGGAGCGGACCTGCGCAATAGACCTATCGCTAAGCCACGCCCCCTTTGAAAACTCGGACAAACAAAGCCGACCGTGAATGACTCTTGACAATGGCCGCGGGGGGAGTTCAAGTTAAAATAACATTAAAATAGAAGCAAGAGCTAATAAAAGCAACAGCAGATGAAAGTTAACAGTTAAAAGCAAGAGTAAAAAGGTAGCCATGTATTTCTTTATATAAAATATCTAATCTTGTTGCCTGTCGTGTGTAGTGGTGACTGTTGTGTAACCATTGAAATGATAATATGATGTTGAATGTTAGCAGTGGTGGTCACTACATTAAATCTATAACTATAACTGTCCTTGTTGGTCATCATGTTCACTGTTATGCACCTGGCTGACTGTAAAGTTACCTTTTTTTGGGCGAGGGTCTGTGTCTTTTCGGAGCAGCACACACGAGAGCCCGGATGGGATCTGATATTCCAGAGTTGGCTTCCCATCTCTGAAGTGCTTTGAGGTGAAAAGACAGTTAGCAAAAGTTAGCTAAAAACACCAGCTAACTAGCGAGGACGAAAAGTCAGACAGCAAACGTTGATGTTGATAACACTGTAGCTAGTTAGCTGGCTAACAAGTTGGCAGCTAACGTTAGCTAGCTGGGCTGGATATACGCTAGCTAGTTGGCAGTCAAAGTCAATCGTTAGCAAACTAATAGTTTGGTCTACGTTTCTAATACATACCGTCAAATATGATGTCTTTATGAATTGACCTTACCTTTGAGCAAACATAAGTGTCCTTGATAATTGTCTTCACATTCAGTTGTGTATGTGGTTGACGACACAGCATAATCCACCGCTTGCATTTGTCGAGTTTTCTTTTGGGCTTCGGAAAAGGTACGAAATATACTCCTCCATCCAGTCTTTCAGGGTACCTGGTGTCCGAAATTACAGGTACCCCACGCACAGCGTTTCACCATCAGATATTAGCTAGATAATAAACATAGAAACTGAACTCTTCACAGTGGTTTCGATCACAGACGTCTGGTTTTGGTTTGATGCGCCCCACAAACGGCTTTTCTGGTGATGTCCGAGTTTTCTGTCAGGAGGGATTTTCGCTGTGATATGATTGGACAAATTCTATTTGGGGCGTGGTTTAGCGATAGGTCTATTGGAGAAAGTTCTGACACATCCAGTCATTGATTTGTTCAATGCACTTACTCAGTGTTTGAATTGGAGCATAGTCTCCTGGTGAAATTGTTACGTAAATGTGTGTGTCATCTGCATAGCTATGGTAACTTATTTAGTTGTTCTTCATTATCTGAGCCAGTGGTAGCATGTAGATGTTAAAGAGAAGAGGCCCCAAGATGGAGCCTTGAGGAACCCCACATGTCATATTTGTCAACTCAGATGTGTATTTACCTATAGAAACAAAGTTGTTTCTGTCCTTTAAGTAGGATTCAAACCAATTCAGAACTGTTTCCGAAAGTCCCACCCAGTTCTCCAGTCGGTCTAGTAATATGCTGTGGTCAACAGTGTCAAACACAGCACTGAGATCTAATAATACTAACACTGAAGTTCTGCCACTGTCTGTGTTTAAGTGGATGTCATTAAAGACCTTTACAAGAGCAGTCTCAGTGCTGTGGTTTGGACGAAAGCCTGACTGGAACACATCCAAACAGTTATTTAAATGCAAGAAATTACTCAACTGTTGAAAAACAACTTTTTCAATGATTTTACCTAGAAATGGCAGGTTTGATATGGGCCTGTAATTGTTCATTACTGAAGCATCTAGATTATTCTTTTTTAAGAGCGGTTTAATGACTGCAGTTTTCAGGGCCTGTGGAAAAACACCTGAGTGAAGAGATGTGTTTACTATATGAAGTAGATCTGAGGCCATGCAAGGCAAAACATCTTTGAAAAATCCTGTTGGAATAATATCAAGGCAGCAGGAGGAGGATTTCAGAAGTTGAATAATGTCCTCTAGGTTTTTATCATTAATCTGATGGAACTGTGTCATGATGTCTGAATTGATGTTAAGTGGACACAGAGACAACACATTTGCTGTTCCTGATGCAGAGGCACTGACTGCTTGTCTGATGTTCTGAATGTTGTCAGTGAAGAAGGCAAAATCATTGCACGCCCTGGTGGATAGAAATTCAGAGGCTACTGACACTGGGGGGTTAGTTAGTCTGTCGACGGTAGCGAACAAGGCACGTGCGTTGTTTTTGTTTTTGGTAATGCTGTCAGAGAAGAACGATTGTCGTGCGTTTTTCAATTCCAAATGATAAAAGCCAAGTCTCTCTTTATAGATTTCAAAGTGAACCTGGAGATTTGTTTTTCGCCACCTGCGTTCAGCTTTTCGACATTCTCTTTTTTCTGCTCTCACGGTCATGGCCTTTCTCCATGGAGATATTTTCTTGCCAGACACTTCCTTTACCTTAGTTGGAGCAATGGCATCTATAACATTTTTAATTTTTGAATTAAAATGATCTACTAGCTCATTTACTGAGATGTTAGCAGGGGCAAGTGTGGAAGAAAAATTCTGAGTAAACATTTCCCTAGTGTTTTCAGTTAAATATCGCTTTGTGGTTACCTCTTTTTGAACATTTGTGTGAACAGAAATAGAGCTCTCAAAGAAAACACAGGAATGGTCAGAGAGTGCAACATCAGTCACCACAACCTTAGAGATATTCAGACCCTTTGAGATAATTAAGTCCAGAGTGTGCCCCTTATTGTGCGTGGGCTCCGTCACATGCTGAGTCAGTCCATAGCTATCAAGAACACAGAACAGTTCTTTAGCCCCTCTGTCCTGGGGGTTGTCAACATGGATGTTCAAATCACCAACAATGACTAGACGGTCAAAGTCAATACACACTATAGACAGCAGTTCAGTAAAGTCATCAAAAAAGCTTGCACAGTATTTGGGTGGTCTATAGATATTTAGGAACAGAGCTCGAGAGGAGCATTTCAGCTGACGGGCCACATATTCAAAAGAAGCAAAGTTTCCATACGATGTCTTCCTGCATTGAAGGGAATCATTGAACAGAATAGCAACTCCACCTCATTTCTTATGCATTCTTTCCTGACTCATAAAACTGAAGTTGGGAGGGGTTGATTCGATAAGAACAGCTGCACTGTTATTTTGTTCAATCCAAGTTTCTGTTAAAAACATAAAATCGAGATTGTGCTCAGTGATAAAATCATTGATTAAAAATGTTTTTCCTGCCAGAGACCTGACATTTAATAAAGCTAGTTTAAGTTCGTTAAACACAGTATCAGTCAGGTTTTTTGTAACAAGCTGTGGCTGACATGGAATCACTGCTAAATTAGATAAACTCACACAAACGTTTGAGCGCTTCCTGTATCTAAGATGATTCACCGCTCTTAATCTATTATCCTCATTACTCACAAAGCCCTCAACAATCAGGCCAACAATCATTACCTCACAGACCTGCTGCACCACCACGCCCCTTCCTGCTGCCTCCGCTCATCAGAAGCCAACCTCCTATCCATCCCCACCCGCACCAATCACCGGACCTGGGGGGACAGAGCCTTCTCCGTCGCTGCCCCCTCCCTCTGGAACTCACTCCCCCAACCCATCAGAGACTGCACTGACCTCACCACCTTCAAAACACTCACAAAAACTCACCTCTTCAATCTTGCTTTTAATGTGTGATTGTTTTTGTATTATTTGACTTTAACTTTAACTATATATTTATTTGTTGTTCCTTCCTTTTCTTTCCTCTTCACTATATCTGTAAGCGTCTTTGAGCACCTGTATAAGCGCTAACAAATTAAATCTATTATTATTATTATTATTATTACCTATCAACACAGATATCGGCAAAGCTATAGGCAGGCAGGGCCCCGGCATGTCCTGGAAAGAGTTGAGAGTGCCATACGCCCTTGAGCCTGGACCCAGCACATATCAGTAAGAGTTTGTTGTGTTTTGTACACACACATCCTTATCAGGCTTCGGAGACTGCAGATACTTTCTTGAAGGGAGGGGAGGTGGTTGACGTAGGCACGATGATGGAGACGGGGGAGATGGTGCGGGGATAGAGGACATGCTGCCAGGGGGGGGAGGTGGTTGACGTAGGCACGGTGATGGAGACAGAGGGAGACGGTGCGCGTCTCCCCGGTGATTTTGGTGGGCGTCGTTGAGGAGCGGGGGTAAAGGACATGCTGCCAGCCCTGCGTATCGCCTTAGTTTGGTCTTTGAACTCCAGGAAGGAATCAGTGCCAACCCTCTGTATCTCCTTCATGTGTTCAACGATCTCCAGGAGGGTGGGCGAGGGTGAACGGAGAGTAGAGAGAGCTGTGGGGTGAAGGAAGAGTATCCTCAGAGGTGACAGGCGGGGTGACGGGCAGTGGAGACTCCTCCATTTGTGTCATAGGTCTCCCATAATCAGAACATTCCTCAGGCGGGTGCAGTGATAATTCTTCAGGGTTTTCTGAGCGATGTGTTGGGTCTTTCTCCTGTTTTGATTCCTCTTGCCGCTTGTCCTTGGCAGAGGGAACAGATTGATGACGCAGGCAGTTGAATATGTTAGAGATAAACAATTTCACTCCTGACTTGTTCAGGCAAACTCCATTTGCCTTGAAAAGATTTCTGCGATCCCAGAAAAAGTTAAAGTTGTCAATAAAATGAACAGAATGGTCAGTACAGGCCGTTGAAAGTCAGGTGTTCAGTGCAAACAATCTGCTGAATCTCTCCACTCCTCTTCTGACTGGCGGTAGAGGGCCACTGATGAACATCTCTGCATTTAGAGAGCTGACAGTTTCCAACAAACATTTAAAGTCTTCTTTCAGCACTTCTGACTGTTGTTTCACAACATCATTTGTTCCAATGTGCAGTACCACATTCTTCACAGTCGGATGTTCAGCCCCAATATGCAGGATCTTCTCAGCCAAGTCAGAGACCACATCCTTGGGAAAACAGAGTACTTTGGTGTTGTTCTTATTACACAGACCTTTTACATCTCTTACAGCAGAGTCACCCACAATCAGAGTTTCAGGCCCAGTCGTTAGCTTTCCCTCTAGCCATTTACTTTTGGAGTAGCTATTGGTCCTTACCCTGCTGCGTGAAGAGGACAGGTTATCCAGGTCATCAGATCTCCGGTTCTCGGTCAGCGGAGCGTATCTGTTCTGGATTGGCACACTTGGTGGTTTAGGAGGATTGTTTGTAATTCTCCCTTTAGCAGCTGTCCACTGCTGTTTCCTAGTATGAATAGGGGTTGAAGAGGCGCTCTTCCTGGGTAATAACAATGCAGGCCAGCCGGTCGCATCACAGATTTCAGAGCGCTGGGCTCTGCCTGTTATCCGTCCTCCCAAATCCCATGGAAATGATTTACTCTTAGGCTTTGCACCCCGAGAGTTCCAGGGAGGACTACCACTTGTAGATTTATTACCCGGTACACAGCCCTCCTGTTCCTTGGAATCCTTGTAGCTGCTAACTAGCTTTGAGTTAGCATGCCTTTGTCCATTATTTTGCAACACTGGTAAAGTCGTGTCATTCCCACAACATAGTCCATTCACTTCCACGTTAACTTCCAACCGTTGCATTTTAATTTCCAACACAGCCATCTTCTGTAGAAGTTTGTGGAAGTCATCTGTAGAGAACGGAGGCATTTTGCTACCAACTAGCTTAAGCTAAATAGCATGCAGTACCAGGCTTTATCTGTTGCTAGGCCACGCTACTGTAAGACTGAGGTCGTCGTAAAAATGTTGAAATATGGCTGAAAGCCTCCGTCTATTTACGAAGATGAACTGTCCCAGTGATAAGTTAATGTCCAGGAGCCGCTGCTCGAAGTTTTCAGAGAATAAGAATAGGAAAATCAGCTTAAAAAGTAAGCAGAGGCAAGAGCAAGCAGAAAAGCGTCTGCACTGTAAGAAGGCAAGGTCCGTCCTGGGAGGGATCCCTCTCCCAGGACGGACAGACGTGCAATAGATGCCGTGTGTAAATCAAAGAGATAATACATTTGACAGCATATAGACCGAATGTTAGGAAATGCATGTGTCTGTAATAAGAAGATGAATCCACGAGGATGTCAGCTACAATCCTGTGGAAGCCATCAGGGAAGCAGCATGACGAGACCCAAGGCAGGACCGCAGAGACAGGTTCAGCCACGACCCGAAGTCCACGACTTAATCCAGAACTCAGGATAGAGGATCCAAGACACAGGACTACAGCAAGAGGATCAGCCTCGACTCCGGATCCCGGCGTAGATATAGATACAAAACAAGAACAAAGATCTACAATAATCTTGGCGATCTTGTTAAAATTGTGAATGCAGAATTAAAAATACGATGTAACTGGTTTGCAGTTAATAAAGGATCCCTTAATGTGGCCAAAACACATGACAAGTTATTCAATACAAAGTCTGAGAGCAGAAATGACTGCATTATACGGATTTGCAATACAGAGATAGAAAAAGTTGGTGCATGTACATTTTTAGGACTGCTTGTTGACGAAAAACTCAACTGGAAGCAGCATATAAATGATGTACAGACTAAACTTTCAAAAACAATAGGTATTTTGTATCATACTAAGAACATTCTGGAGGAAAAGATACTCTTTATAACAGTCTATTTCTCCCTTACCTTTAATACTGCTCTGAAATATGGGGAAACACGTACTCAACAAATCTACAAAAAATAACATCCCAAAAGAAAGTATTACAAATAGTCTGTGGTAAATATGAACACACAACTCCCATATTTAAAAAAACTCAATCTATTAAAATGTGTTGAGAGAGTACAGCTTAAAACAGTACTGATTATGCACAACATTTTCAAAACAAAATGCCTACTAACATTCAAAAGCAGTTCCAAATCACAGCGTGAACGAATTAATGTAGAAAAAGTCACTTGAAAATAAGTGTTCACAATGTTTATATGCAATTATGCATATATTATTATTATTCATTTGCCAAGTACATGTACATATGTATATATTTATATATAGTATTTTAATTTCCAAAAAAAGATAGTTGAAACTGCTATTGACATGTGCAGAAAATGGCCCTATATCTAGTTTTCGTATATATATATATATATATATATATATATATATATATATATATATATATATATATATATATATATGCATTTATTGTTTTCCTGCCCTCACTTTTATTTAATTGTTTCTCCTGTTTTCTTTGTACTCCTTCATTTCTATACGTTTTTGACGCAATAATGCCGCTGTATCAGGATGATGCACGGGAGGGCTACTTTCCACAAGCTATGCTTCAGCCCTCCCTCTTCTACTCATTGTGTTCATCTTTGTGTGGATGAATTCAACTTTTTTGTTTTTTCGGATGAATAAAAAATAAAAGAAATAAAAACGTTCAGCTTGGGGGCCCCCTAGTGGCCACGGGGGCCCTATGCCCCCTAGTGCGCCTATAGGAAGAAACGGCCCTGACTGTACTGAAGTACACTTTGGAGATAGTTGTACTTTACTTGAGTATTTCCATGTTATGTCACATACTTCTACTCCTCTACAGCTCAGAGGTAAATGTGTACTTTTACTACACTACATGTATTTAATACCTTTAGTACTTCTACTTTTACTCCAGTACAAGATCTGAGTACTTATTATTTTTGCTCAAGTACAAGATCAGAATACTTCTACTTTTACTGAAGTACAAGATCTGAGTACTTCTACTTTTACTACAAGATCTGAGTACTTCTATTTTTACTACAAGATCTGAGTACTTGTACTCTGACTCCAGTCCCAGATCTGAGTACTTGTACTCTGACTCCAGTCCCAGATCTGAGTACATGTACTCTGACTCCAGTCCCAGATCTGAGTACATGTACTCTGACTCCAGTCCCATATCTGAGTACTTCTACTCTGACTCCAGTCCCATATCTGGGTACTTGTACTCTGACTCCCAGATCTGAGTACACGTACTCTGACTCCAGTCCCAGATCTGAGTACTTGTACTCTGACTCCAGTCCCAGATCTGAGTACATGTACTCTGACTCATCCCAGACCTGAGTACATGTACTCTGACTCCAGTCCCAGATCTGAGTACTTGTACTCTGACTCCAGTCCCAGATCTGAGTACATGTACTCTGACTCCAGTCCCAGATCTGAGTACATGTACTCTGACTCCAGTCCCATATCTGAGTACTTCTACTCTGACTCCAGTCCCATATCTGGGTACTTGTACTCTGACTCCCAGATCTGAGTACACGTACTCTGACTCCAGTCCCAGATCTGAGTACTTGTACTCTGACTCCAGTCCCAGATCTGAGTACATGTACTCTGACTCATCCCAGACCTGAGTACATGTACTCTGACTCCAGTCCCAGATCTGAGTACTTGTACTCTGACTCCAGTCCCAGATCTGAGTACATGTACTCTGACTCCAGTCCCAGACCTGAGTACATGTACTCTGACTCCAGTCCCAAATCTGAGTACTTGTACTCTGACTCCAGTCCCAGACCTGAGTACATGTACTCTGACTCCAGTCCCAGACCTGAGTACTTGTACTCTGACTCCAGTCCCAGACCTGAGTACTTGTACTCTGACTCCAGTCCCAGACCTGAGTACATGTACTCTGACTCCAGTCCCAGACCTGAGTACATGTACTCTGACTCCAGTCCCAGACCTGAGTACATGTACTCTGACTCCAGTCCCAGACCTGAGTACTTGTACTCTGACTCCAGTCCCAGACCTGAGTACTTGTACTCTGACTCCAGTCCCAGACCTGAGTACTTGTACTCTGACTCCAGTCCCAGACCTGAGTACATGTACTCTGACTCCAGTCCCAGACCTGAGTACTTGTACTCTGACTCCAGTCCCAGACCTGAGTACATGTACTCTGACTCCAGTCCCAGACCTGAGTACATGTACTCTGACTCCAGTCCCAGACCTGAGTACTTGTACTCTGACTCCAGTCCCAGACCTGAGTACTTGTACTCTGACTCCAGTCCCAGACCTGAGTACTTGTACTCTGACTCCAGTCCCAGACCTGAGTACTTGTACTCTGACTCCAGTCCCAGATCACCCAGCAGTTGAAGAGGATCCAGTTTTGTGGAACAGACTTCTTTATGGTCAGAAACACAAAAACACAACAAACCAGTCTCTGATTATTCACTGATTTAAAATATATATTTATTGATAACTTGGTGAAATGTACAAGCTATAGAAAGAGAACAATCCCCTCTTTATGAACTCATCGGTGAAACAGATCTAACAGAAGCATAATATGTAATACTGTGAAAGGGCATCGTGCACAATGAGCCGTTTCATATCATCAACTCAAGTACTGCACTTTAAGATACTTGTACTGAAGTCCATCTCCTGCTACTCTAGACTTCCTCTCATATCAATGTGAAAGTACTGACAGAGATGTTTCATCACAGATTGAACTAGCAGTGATTGAAATTACTCTTTTGAAACAAATGACCAAACACTGTGATTTGAACCTTTAACACTTTTTGAACCAAAGGGAGAAATATAAAGCTCACGCTGGTTTCTGAACACTCATCAGTTTCACAGAGAGACTGAGCCGTGAGGGTTTAGATATAGAACATTCAATATGTCTGAAGGTGATGTGAGCAGTGATCCATGGGTAGGTCTAACAGGTGATATAGTGTTTCATACTTTTCATACTGTATTAAACATACATAGGTTTCTTTTTCAGGAACAAGTCCTGTTTCTCGCTTGAGGCCAGGAAAAGGCTCTGTGACCTTTTGACCTGTGCTGGACTCTGGTGATCTGATCTATATGAATGCACCTGCTGCCCATTGCCTGAACAAGTTAGATGCCGCCTATCACAGCGCACTGAGATTTGTCACAGATTGTAAAGCACTGACTCATCACTGTACCCTGTATGCCAGGCAGGTCTGCCTTCACTTACTGTAAAGAGGCTCAGTCATTGGTACACGTTCATCTATAAAGCTTTGTTGGGTAAACTCCCGTATTATATCTGCTCTCTGATCACACAGAGAGTTGCAAGCAGCTATTGTCTGAGATGGCATGATGTAGTATTGGTAGATGTGCCAAGAGCAAGGACTGTCTTAGGTAAGACAGCTTTTATGTGCAGCTCCACTTGCTTGGAACAGTCTTAAGCAAGAATTGAAACTGAGCAATCTCATTCCTCTGCATGTTTTTAAAGCTAGGCTAAATGAAATGCTCGTTGATACTATGGGCACTTGTAAATGTCTATAACTATGTAAATGTATCCTGTAAATATAGTGTATGATGTCCTTTATTGTTTCATGTTTCATGTGGAACCTATATGCTGCAGGTCTCCCTTGAAAAAGAGATCTATGATCTCAATGGGACCAATCTGATTAAATAAAGGTTTGATACTGACTGGGACTCCTTCCTGTGGATGGAGCTGACAGGAGGGTCAGGGACTCCTTCCTGTGGGTGGAGCTGACAGGAGGGTCAGGGACTCCTTCCTGTGGATGGAGCTGACAGGAGGGTCTGGGACTCCTTCCTGTGGGTGGAGCTGACAGGAGGGTCAGGGACTCCTTCCTGTGGATGGAGCTGACAGGATGGTCAGGGACTCCTTCCTGTGGATGGAGCTGACAGGAGGGTCAGGGACTCCTTCCTGTGGATGGAGCTGACAGGAGGATCAGGGACTCCTTCCTGTGGATGGAGCTGACAGGAGGGTCTGGGACTCCTTCCTGTGGGTGGAGCTGACAGGAGGGTCAGGGACTCCTTCCTGTGGATGGAGCTGACAGGATGGTCAGGGACTCCTTCCTGTGGATGGAGCTGACAGGAGGGTCAGGGACTCCTTCCTGTGGATGGAGCTGACAGGAGGGTCAGGGACTCCTTCCTGTGGATGGAGCTGACAGGATGGTCAGGGACTCCTTCCTGTGGATGGAGCTGACAGGAGGGTCAGGGACTCCTTCCTGTGGATGGAGCTGACAGGATGGTCAGGGACTCCTTCCTGTGGATGGAGCTGACAGGAGGGTCAGGGACTCCTTCCTGTGGATGGAGCTGACAGGATGGTCAGGGACTCCTTCCTGTGGATGGAGCTGACAGGAGGGTCAGGGACTCCTTCCTGTGGGTGTAGCTGACAGGAGGGTCAGGGACTCCTTCCTGTGGGGTGGAGCTGACAGGAGGGTCAGGGACTCCTTCCTGTGGATGGAGCTGACAGGAGGGTCTGGGACTCCTTCCTGTGGGTGGAGCTGACAGGAGGGTCAGGGACTCCTTCCTGTGGATGGAGCTGACAGGAGGGTCTGGGACTCCTTCCTGTGGGTGGAGCTGACAGGAGGGTCAGGGACTCCTTCCTGTGGATGGAGCTGACAGGAGGGTCTGGGACTCCTTCCTGTGGGTGGAGCTGACAGGAGGGTCAGGGACTCCTTCCTGTGGATGGAGCTGACAGGAGGGTCTGGGACTCCTTCCTGTGGGTGGAGCTGACAGGAGGGTCAGGGACTCCTTCCTGTGGATGGAGCTGACAGGAGGGTCAGGGACTCCTTCCTGTGGATGGAGCTGACAGGATGGTCAGGGACTCCTTCCTGTGGGTTTGGGGTTTGGAGCAGACCACTTCAGAGACATGTTTTTATATCTGAAACGCACAATATATGCCTACAAACAGCATGATAGGAGACCTGTAATGTGAAGTGGACGTGGTTCAATCCAAACTGGGTTTGAGAAACGGGGGTACCCGGGGGTCGACGTGTTTTGGAAGTAATATGGTCTGTGTTTACATTAGCAAGTAGCGCTAACTAGAAATAGAGGGGTTTGAAGCGTGGCTAGAATGGGTGATCTGTTTGGTATTTTGAGCACACTTCATAGACATGTTTTTTTAAAGTATTTGTATATATCTGAGACCCACAATATATGCCTCAAAACAGCACGATAGGAGACCTTTAAGGCGAGAGGTTATGAAGGTGGAAGCTACTCGGCCGGGCTCTGGCTGGCGGCTCTCAGCCGGTAGTGGAAGCGTACGTCTGCGTCCGGCAGCAGGATGCCCAGCCCGGCCCGGCTGTAGTCCAGAGAGACCCGGTTCTGACCCGGCTGCAGGTCCAGGTCCAGGTACAGCAGCACCAGACTCAGGAACTGCTTGATCTCGTTGACGGCGAAGTATCGTCCGGGACACATGGAGGCGCCGGAGCCGAAGGGCATCAGGAAGAACTTCAGCTTCTGCCCGCTCTTATAGAAGTCCGTCTTCACACGGCCGTCCTGGACGAAGCGGTCGTAGCGGAACGACTGGAGGAAGAGGAAGAGGAAGAGGAAACAGGTTTATCACCAGGTAGGTCGACACGTACGAGGAATTTGACTTGGTGTCATGGTGCATACAAACAAAATAACATTACAAAATATTTAAAATAATACAAAATATAGTAAGTGGGGGGTACCTGGGGGTCCTGGTAGATGTCGGGGTCCATGTGCATGCTCTGGGGGTAGAGGGCGATCATGTCTCCCTTCCTCACGGACGCAGAGCGCTCTTCATTCAGACGCAGACTGAAGTCCTCCTGAGACACCCGGATGTTGGTGGAGACTGAGGACAGACGCAGACCCTCGCTGATGGAGCTCTCTGGGGAATAGAGATGCAAACACACTCTACCCTTCAGCAGTGGTTACTGACAGATCTCAGGTCTGATCATACACATCTTGTGTTAACCAAAGACCTGATTTCAACCGAAAACAAATCCAGTCCCGTTTTTCTTGTAAGAGAATACTAGACGTCACAGTGATGCTAAATGACTCATTCTTTTTTTCATTGAAATGACAGAAATTGTGAAAGGCAAGAAGGAAGGGTTTGGTCCATAGGGGAAATAAGGTTTTGTAAAATATTGAATGACACCTCCTTCACTTTCTTATTATTCCATAATGTTTTGAACATCCTGAATGTCCTCCTCCAACATGAGAGTAACATGCTAACAAAGGTACCCCAACTGTAGCTGTGAACATGACAGGATGTGTGATTACCTAGAAGAGCATCAGGACTGTTTGAGGCAGATGATAGCTATGTGATTAACATGATGATTCAGCCTCTATGGAGAGAGACATCAAGCATGCTCATTTCTGACGTGGAGCTAATCTGAAGTAAACATTGAATACTGCTTTCTATTCCTCCATCTTGTGACTGTGTAACTCCCTCTCTTGGATATCAGCATGTGAAGGACACTGTTCAGGAACTAGTCTCTGTATGTGATGACTCCTTCCATTCTGGAGAGGATCACAGACACATGGATCCTGAGGATGAAGCTCAAGCCGGGGACCAGGGAGAGTTAACATTTTTAAGTATTCAGAAAAAGTCATTATTTTGATATTTTGAGAAAAAGTCATAATTTTAAGAAAAAGTCATAATTTTGATATTTTGAGAAAAAGTCATAATTTTGAGAAAAACTCAGAATTTGAGAAAAACTCAAAATGTTGATATTTTTGAGAAAGATTCATAATTTTTTGAAAAAAGTCAGAATTTTTAGATAAAGTCATCATTTTGAGATTCTTCATTCTGGAGAGGATCACAGATACATGGGTCCTGAGGCTGAAGCTCAAGCCGGGGAGTATTAACATTTTTAAGTATTCAGAAAAAGTCATAATTTTGATATTTTGAGAAAAAGTCATAATTTTAAGATAAAGTCATAATTTTAAGAAAAAGTCAACATTTTGAGATAAATTTATATTTTTGAGAAAAAGTCATAATTTTTATATTTTTGAGAAAAAGTCATAATTTTAAGATAAAGTCATAATTAAGAGGGAAAAGTCAGATTTTTGAGAAAAAGTCAGGATTTTTTGAAAAAAAGTCATAATTTTTAAATAAAGTCATTATTTTGAGAGAAAAGTCAGATTTTTTTGAAAAAAGTCAGAATCTTTTGAAACAGTCAGGATTTTGAGATTCTTCATTCTGGAGAGGATCACAGACACATGGATCCTGAGGCTGAAGCTCAAGCCGGGGTTGGTGATGTTTTCCTAACTCTTACCCAGGAGCACCATGCTGTCCAGCTGCTCTCTGCTCAGCGTCAGGTCCTCCTCTGGGCTGAACTTCCCCCCCGACAGCCTCAGGACCTCCAGGACCTCCTGCCGGACGGCCTCCAGCGCCTCGGAGTCCCTCAGCAGGAAGTAGAGCACCCAGAAGCAGGCGGGCACCGTGTTGCCCACCGACGCCCAGAGGATGGCAAAGTGATGGGCTAAAGGAGAGCAAAGGTAGTCAATGCAGAGGTCTGTTTCCAGAGCACCGAGCTCAGGGTTGAGTTTTAACACGATCGTTTGTTGTTCTGTTTTTGATGTTCTGTTTCGTTGTTCTATTTTGTGTTTTTTGTTAAGATGTCCAGTACTGTATGTTGCAAGGTTTGATTTGATAGTATTTACCTGTTTAAAATGAAATGTGTCTTTAGGTTGACTGATCTGTCTGGGGACTACAGATGAAAAATAGCCTCTTGGCTAACTCTGGATTGATGTGCACTGTCCCTGTTAAAGGTCACCTACTAAGGACATGTCTCTGAAGTGTCCTGCTCCAAACCCCAAACAGATCCTTGTAGCCCCCCCCCTCTCTCTTCCAGCTGTTACTAAGGACATGTCTCTGAAGTGTCCTGCTCCAAACCCCAAACAGATCCTTGTAGCCCCCCCCCCCCCTCTCCTCCAGCTGTTACTAAGGACATGTCTCTGAAGTGTCCTGCTCCAAACCCCAAACAGATCCTTGTAGCCCCCCCCCCCTCTCCTCCAGCTGTTACTAAGGACATGTCTCTGAAGTGTCCTGCTCCAAACCCCAAACAGGTCCTTGTAGCCCCCCCCCCCTCTCCTCCAGCTGTTACTAAGGACATGTCTCTGAAGTGTCCTGCTCCAAACCCCAAACAGATCCTTGTAGCGCCCCCTCTCTTCCAGCTGTTACTAAGGACATGTCTCTGAAGTGTCCTGCTCCAAACCCCAAACAGATCCTTGTAGCCCCCCCCCTCTCTTCCAGCTGTTACTAAGGACATGTCTCTGAAGTGTCCTGCTCCAAACCCCAAACAGATCCTTGTAGCCCCCCCCTCTCTTCCAGCTGTTACTAAGGACATGTCTCTGAAGTGTCCTGCTCCAAACCCCAAACAGGTCCTTGTAGCCCCCCCCCCTCTCCTCCAGCTGTTACTAAGGACATGTCTCTGAAGTGTCCTGCTCCAAACCCCAAACAGGTCCTTGTAGCCCCCCCCTCTCCTCCAGCTGTTACTAAGGACATGTCTCTGAAGTGTCCTGCTCCAAAACCCCAAACAGGTCCTTGTAGCCCCCCCCCCTCTCTCCAGCTGTTACTAAGGACATGTCTCTGAAGTGTCCTGCTCCAAACCCCAAACAGGTCCTTGTAGCCCCCCCCCCCTCTCCTCCAGCTGTTACTAAGGACATGTCTCTGAAGTGTCCTGCTCCAAACCCCAAACAGGTCCTTGTAGCCCCCCCCTCTCTTCCAGCTGTTACTAAGGACATGTCCTCTGAAGTGTCCTGCTCCAAACCCCAAACAGGTCCTTGTAGCCCCCCCCTCTCTTCCAGCTGTTACTAAGGACATGTCTCTGAAGTGTCCTGCTCCAAACCCCAAACAGGTCCTTGTAGCCCCCCCCTCTCTTCCAGCTGTTACTAAGGACATGACTCTGAAGTGTCCTGTTCCAAACCCCCAAACAGGTCCTTGTAGCCTAAGCCCCCCCCTCTCTTCCAGCTGTTACTAAGGACATGTCTCTGAAGTGTCCTGCTCCAAACCTCAAACAGATCCTTGTAGCGCCCCCCTCTCTTCCAGCTGTTACTAAGGACATGTCTCTGAAGTGTCCTGCTCCAAACCCCAATCAGATCCTTGTAGCCCCCCCCCCTCTCTTCCAGCTGTTCTAAGGACATGTCTCTGAAGTGTCCTGCTCCAAAAACCTCAAACAGATCCTTGTAGCCCCCCCTCTCTTCCAGCTGTTACTAAGGACATGTCTCTGAAGTGTCCTGCTCCAAACCCCAAACAGATCCTTGTAGCCCCCCCCTCTCTTCCAGCTGTTACTAAGGACATGTCTCTGATGTGTCCTGCTCCAAACCCCAAACAGATCCTTGTAGCCCCCCCCCCTCTCTTCCAGCTGTTACTAAGGACATGTCTCTGAATGTGTCCTGCTCCAAACCCCAAACAGATCCTTGTAGCCCCCCCCCTCTCTTCCAGCTGTTACTAAGGACATGTCTCTGAAGTGTCCTGCTCCTAACCCCAAACAGATCCTTGTAGCCCCCCCCCTCTCTGTTCCAGCTGTTACTAAGGACATGTCTCTGAAGTGTCCTGCTCCAAACCCCAAACAGATCCTTGTAGCCCCCCCCCCTCTCTTCCAGCTGTTACTAAGGACATGTCTCTGAAGTGTCCTGCTCTAAACCCCAAACAGATCCTTGTAGCCCCCCCCCTCTCTTCCAGCTGTTACTAAGGACATGTCTCTGAAGTGTCCTGCTCCTAAACCCCAAACAGATCCTTGTAGCCCCCCCCCTCTCTTCCAGCTGTTACTAAGGACATGTCTCTGAAGTGTCCTGCTCTAAACCCCAAACAGATCCTTGTAGCCCCCCCCCCTCTCTTCCAGCTGTTACTAAGGACATGTCTCTGAAGTGTCCTGCTCTAAACCCCAAACAGATCCTTGTAGCCCCCCCCCCTCTTCCAGCTGTTACTAAGGACATGTCTCTGAAGTGTCCTGCTCTAAACCCCAAACAGATCCTTGTAGCCCCCCCCCTCTCTTCCAGCTGTTACTAAGGACATGTCTCTGAAGTGTCCTGCTCTAAACCCCAAACAGATCCTTGTAGCCCCCCCCCCCTCTTCCAGCTGTTACTAAGGACATGTCTCTGAAGTGTCCTGCTCTAAACCCCAAACAGATCCTTGTAGCCCCCCCCCCTCTCTTCCAGCTGTTACTAAGGACATGTCTCTGAAGTGTCCTGCTCTAAACCTCAAACAGATCCTTGTAGCCCCCCCCCTCTCTCCCAGCTGTTACTAAGGACATGTCTCTGATGTGTCCTGCTCCAAACCCCAAACAGGTCCTTGTAGCCCCCCCCTCTCTTCCAGCTGTTACTAAGGACATGTCTTTGAAGTGTCCTGCTCCAAACCCCAAACAGGTCCTTGTAGCCCCCCCCCCCTCTCTTCCAGCTGTTACTAAGGACATGTCTCTGAAGTGTCCTGCTCCAAACCCCAAACAGGTCCTTGTAGCCCCCCCCCCCTCTCTTCCAGCTCTTACTAAGGACATGTCTCTGAAGTGTCCTGCTCCAAACCCCAAACAGGTCCTTGTAGCCCCCCCCCCCTCTCTTCCAGCTCTTACTAAGGACATGTCTCTGAAGTGTCCTGCTCCAAACCCCAAACAGGTCCTTGTAGCCCCCCCCCTCTCTCTTCCAGTTGTTACTAAGGACATGTCTCTGAAGTGTCCTGCTCCTAACCCCAAACAGGTCCTTGTAGCCCCCCCCCTCTCTCTTCCAGCTGTTACTAAGGACATGTCTCTGAAGTGTCCTGCTCCAAACCCCAAACAGATCCTTGTAGCCCCCCCCCTCTCTTCCAGTTGTTACTAAGGACATGTCTCTGAAGTGTCCTGCTCCTAACCCCAAACAGGTCCTTGTAGCCCCCCCCTCTCTTCCAGCTGTTACTAAGGACATGTCTCTGAAGTGTCCTGCTCCAAACCCCAAACAGATCCTTGTAGCCCCCCCCCCTCTCTTCCAGTTGTTACTAAGGACATGACTCTGAGTGTCCTGCTCCAAACCCCAAACAGATCCTTGTAGCCCCCCCCCCCTCTCTTCCAGCTGTTACTCAGGACATGTCTCTGAAGTGTCCTGCTCCAAACCCCAAACAGGTCCTTGTAGCCCCCCCCCCTCTCTTCCAGCTGTTACTAAAGACATGTCTCTGAAGTGTCCTGCTCCAAACCCCAAACAGGTCCTTGTAGCCCCCCCCCCCTCTCTTCCAGCTCTTACTAAGGACATGTCTCTGAAGTGTCCTGCTCCAAACCCCAAACAGGTCCTTGTAGCCACCCCCCCTCTCTTCCAGCTGTTACTAAGGACATGTCTCTGAAGTGTCCTGCTTCCAAACCCCAAACAGATCCTTGTAGCCCCCCCCCCTCTCTTCCAGCTGTTACTAAGACATGTCTCTGAAGTGTCCTGCTCCTAACCCCAAACAGATCCTTGTAGCCCCCCCCCCCCTCTCTTCCAGTTTACTAAGGACATGTCTCTGAAGT